CGATACAAATTCAGTGGACCGAATATCAGCCATACACCAATTTTATTAATACACATGTACATGCACACAATCAGTAAATACAGCACACTTTCTTTTTAATTATTATTATTATTACACATTACAATAACATATTGTTTAAAGTGCTAATTTGTTAATCCATCCGCGTGGATCTCTCCTGGATCCCACCAAAGCAGTGGGGCACCCTCTGGTACCACATGTATTTTGCTGGTTACTATGATTTCCACTACTCATGTTGCCAGTAAATAGCAGGCAAAATTGAAATCCTGGTTGAAATGTGACTTAATGGCCATGTCTGGGTGCAGGCCAATATTGCTTTTAATGCAAAGTAACATCAGAGATTATATGGAACATTTGGGAATTCGGCTCTGTTATGGGAAGTTGTAATAAATAGTTTATTGTCGACTGGATAGCCAGCACACCTGCGAATTAACGTTTCGTATGGGGTCAAATACCATATGAAAATCCTCAATATTGTTCGTGGTTAGTTTTCAAGTCATTCCATCTCATGCTAAGTTAACATAATGTGAGCAGAATGGCTTAAAGCGCTTCTGATGTCACATGCACTTTATGCCATTTACGAACAGTATTATCAGAATAGCAATTATCACATTTGAAAATATACATTGAAAATAGATACAAAATAATTACTTACTGCAGAATACATGAACTTCTCCATATTAAATGTAATGAAGCTCAATGAGCTGTCAACTTAACAATTTTTTTTATTTTACCATGTAAGACCCACTGAGCTATATAGCTTTTATCAGAAGCGATTTGGCCAAAAATTATTGCTCAAAGAAGTGGCATATCACGTGGTAATTTATAGCAGCCAAATACTCTGGTTAGATAATGGCATTCGTTGATTGATTTTAACCTCATCAAGACATATACGAGTGAAAACATCTATATAAAGCAGCATAACAATTTTTCCTGTTAAGGAAAATAAGTGGGCTTGGCAGGACACATCGTGAGAAGGGATGATGGATGGCCAGTGGATGAGACTGGTGATGGAATGACAGCCAAAGGAGAACACACCCAAGAGGATGCAAGACTATGTGCATAGCAAAGATATGTGGAGGCCTTCATTCAGCAGTGGAGAGGTCCAGGGCTGGTGAGAGAAAAATAATACTTCATTCAAACAATGCTTTATATGACTTTTAGGGAAGAACAGAACATGATTTAGGTAAAGTTACAAATTAATAAAAAACTGGCTATTTATATGACCAATTGTTGGCAGCAGCAGGCTGTGGTATTTTAGGTGATATATGCTTGACTGCGTGAGAACATGGATGATGGGACTTGCATTTGTGCGTATTTAGGAGAGATGAATGACTTTGAGGTACAATAAAGTGTTTGGCAACTGTTCAGTGTGATGCTCCATCGCATAACCTGGTTCTCATCACACAATGTTGTTCATTTGTAAATGTATTTGAATTTAATGTAGATCATGTCATTACACTATTTGATTCATTACAAATATAAGTGTTGTCATAAAACATAACACATTTGACTTGAAACTTTCGTGACTGCAGGAATTCATATTCTTGGTTCTTTCGGTAAAGTTACGTAGACAGAAAATAAAAATAATAAAATAAAACTAATAATAAAATAAAAGCAAAAAACCCACGACGTTTCGATCGCAACACAAGCGGTCTTCGTCAGGCGGAGAGACAAGAGGGCAAGCCTCCAAATGCAACTGCTTATAAGGGTTTCCAAAGTGAGTGGGTGGGGGACTAGAGTTGGGGGGAGGAGAGCTTGTGCAGCGTGAACAGCATGGGCGGGGCAGCCAGTCAGACAATGGGGGGAGAAAGGGGGTAGAGATAGGGGGAGAGAGGGGGGGTAGAGATAGGGGGAGAGAGAGGGGGGGTAGAGGAAACAATGGGGGAGTTGGGAGGAGGACTGTGCGTACACAGCATGGGTGGGGAGATAATGGGGGGGGGGGGAGGAAGGGGGTAGAGATAGGGGGAGAGAGAGGGGGGTAGAGATAGGGGGAGAGAGGAGGGGGGAGTTGGGAGGAGGACATCATAAGTCATGATCTATCCACCGTTTGATTAAAAGCCTTCCCCACGTCATCGCCATCCCTCAGTCTTCATCTTTATTTTGCGCATGAGGCGTACCAGCAGCTGAAGTATGAGTCACTGCAACGCCAACGCAAACCCTCCCTGGCAGAGCCAGGCAGAGCCAGGGAGGGTGATCTCATCGTGACCTATGGACATACCGTTTCCTGTGCGCCTGGCACAAGTGCTACCTTTATCGCTGATTAAATTCTGCCGAGGACAAACGCGTGTTGGAAAGCGTTACAGACTCCAACCAAATGCATGATTTTTCTTTCTTCTTCTGTCTCATTTGCAGCTTTGTTTGATAAATTATCCTAAATGTAGCATCTAAGTATGATTTCCATACCATTCCAATGTATTAACACGGAATTATTCTTACACGCCATTTAATACTTTAAATGTGAGTGTTCAGAATCGAAGGTTAACGATTGATTGAATTTGAGGCACCAGTGCAGTATTAGTCCGAGTATCAAATCTCAGATGTGTGCCTCTATTTTGTCATTAAAAAACTTTTTATATTATATTTGTAATTCAATGTGGATTGATCAAAAGGGTAATTCCATTCTTCATTTAAACAAAATGCTTCCTTTGATCATAATTAACCCAGGACTTTTTAAATTTAACAACGGACCATCTATTATATAGTGGCCCTGGCTAACGAGGGCCATAGCTGTAGTACTCACAGGTGCATAGCACACGAATTTTCTTAAAGTGTGACGGAATACTTTTTTACAGTATAAAACATTTCCTTTACTGTTCAAAAGTAACAGCTATGCTTTCTAACCCATTAGGATTGCATTTGACACGTATACGGTAACTACAATTTGATTATATGGTGATTATCGTGATTCCAGTATGGTTATTCCAATCATTTAATGTGATTCAAATCACCCAGTGTGAATGTTCGGGGATCGAATTCTCAACACAACTGGTCATGCACTCCTTGAGTTAGATTCACATCATGATGAAACAGCCAACACATATTGCCTTGGTGACCTCCCTTGTTGTTGGTGATGGATTCATGGCCACAATTTAATCAAATATGGAACGAAAATGAACAATTTGCCAACACGTGAATCATGCCCCTTATATTTAACCTATCTCATCCAATGCATCAAGACTTGATGTAATGTTTTGCTTTCTGTCTTCAATGCTGTTGTTCTCAAAGGGTACCCAAATAATAACACAATTGCTTATGCTGTGCATACATGGCAAGAGCACAACTTGAATATACTGCAAATAAGAAATAATACTTTACAATATGTTGTATATATGTATGTTGAACTTCTTTCGCACCGTATGTGGCCAACCGTGTTAATCGGAGGTGCGGGGAGACAACAAACTAAACACAAATAGCAGTTTTAAAGACATTCATTTTCAATCTTGATTTAAAAGTGCATCGCTCCAGTGGCTTCTTAATATCGGAAGGCAGAGCGTTCCAGATGGCAGCAGAAGCTCATCTGAAAGCGCGCGATGCAGCGACCGCCTTTGTTCGATGGCTCGCCACAAGATGCTGCGAGGATGACCCGAGTTCGTGTTATGGTTTATGTTCCTTGACGAGATCAGCAAGCTATTGTGGTTCATTCTAGATTTGAAGCTTTCGTGACTGCAAGGATTCATATTCTTAGGTTTTTTTCGGTAAAGTCACGTAGGTAAAAAGTTTAAATTAATAAAAGTAAAATAAAAAAATAAAATAAAAATCACGACGTTTCGGAGGCAACACAAGCTTCCGTCTTCAGGTGGAACCGTCACAGCACGACTTACTTGATGCAGCAGTAGTGCTGTGACGGTTCCACCTGAAGACGGAAGCTTGTGTTGCCTCCGAAACGTCGTGATTTTTATTTTATTTTACTTTTATTAATTTACATTTTTTACCTATTGTGGTTCATTTGTGGCACGCACTTATAGTGTATTCGTTCATCAATTGGGAGCTACTGCAGCTCAGCGAGCACTGGACGGACATTTCCAGTCCACTGCTGGATGAAGGCTTCCCTCGGCTGTCTTTTTTGGAGATTGTTTGACCATAATTTCTCACGCTGGTCACTGCGAGTTGGTGAAAATTGGGATGGGGGGGGGGGGGGAGTCCTGCGTCGGTTCATGTTGTCAGCCATGGTCGGGAATCAAACTCGGGTCGCTGGGTTACCTGCTAGCCACTGTGCCATAACCTCACCCCAATTAAGGAATGCACAAGGAGATTGATGAATCAGAATGGTGTCGTGCCAGAGACATTTTTCCCAACAGCATCCTGCCAGCAGGCAAAGAGGTTTTGCAAACCTCTTCATTTTAATGCCACCCACTGTTATAGCCAACAGAGAACCCCTTTTGCACTCCCTATATTCGTATTTTGTAATATTATCCCAGTGGTTGCGACTGACAGCTTAAATTATTCTGATTTGACGGGCGTTAGAAGTCGTGTAATTATCAAGCGCTGCACCAAGGCAGCAACAGTTGGCAATGTCTTATTGGTTCTTTCGGCAAAGTCACGTAGAATGGAAATAATAAAATAATAAAATTAAAACATAATAAAATAATTCTCACGACGTTTCGGCCACAACGCAAGCAGCTATTCAGACGCTGTCTTTCCGACAGACCTGTTCTTCACCTGAGGACGGCTGCTTGCGTTGTGGCCGAAACGTCGTGAGAATTATTTTATTATGTTTAATTTGTATTATTTTATTATTTCCCTTCTACGTGACTTTACCGAAAGAAACAAGAAGATGAATCCCTGCAGTCCCGAAAGCTTTAAATCGAAAGTTGGCAATGTTTTGACCGAAGGTGGCTCATTTATTAATAGTTTTATAGAAAAAATAATGATGGGTAAAAAGGGTCAAAGATTTTTTTTTAAACAAAGATGAAAAAAAATCTCAAACACATTTGTTAACATTTATTTTTTAATGTATGCAGTAATTATATACAAATCAATAAACGTAAGTAAAAAAGCACGTTTATATTTACATTTTGAATAGTTTAATGCACGGTAGGGTCTGTTAATCATATAGCATTCAAAACATGATCAGTGTAAACAGAATATATCACTATCCTGCACAGATGGCCAAAATACTGTGTATGGTATTAGGAGTAAGACAATAACTTTGCATAAAATAAAAATCACTGAATATAACAAGTGACTTCATGCTTAAGTCATTGTGATTTTGAATCCTCCTCCCTCTCTTTAAAACACGAAATAACAAGGTGTACACAACAGGAATGCCGTTCATGAATTCGTTTGCAGAACAGATTTAATGCAGTACGCACTGTATACAGCAAAGGTGCACATTTGTCCCCGAAGTGCACGAGACAATGTAAACATTCACAGCATTTTCTGAACAGGCACACGGGTGGCACAAGCAGGCAGGACACCAAAACGAAACAAAATAAATGTATGCGTAAGTAAATTAATGTTTCAGTTGACACGACACGCCTTGATTCAGATGTGGGACAGAAGCTGTCACTCTGACAGGGTCTGCATGGTCCACATATAATGGCGACCTGGCATATTGAACACTGTAATATGACCCGAAGTGCTACATTATATATATACTGGTATATATGTTGCGATATTACATTTGTGCGATCAATTATGAGCTGTCGTTTTCATGATGCCTACATACATGCACGCTCACGTTTCATATGAATATGTGTAATCTAGGACTAATGTATGTATGTGCATAATGAGTCATGTTTGTTTCAATGTATATAATAGGATTTTGGTTTTAGCCAGATGGTAGTTGCTATTCATTGTGTAGGCCAAAATTCCATTTCATTTTATATCCAGCTGTTGGAGGATTCGTCTGATGTATTTGTATGCAGTGTATTCATATATTCTGAATGCTGTTAAAAAAATATTCTAGATTGTGGAAAATTCCACGTTCTCTATTGTGGATAATTATATTAACTTTAGTTTCGACTTCCCGCTAATGTCTAGAATTTGTGCAAAACGATACTTCTAAAAGGCAAAGGTATGGCTAAAACGAAATGTGCAACAATCAATAAGTTGACATCATGTTTGATTTCCGCTTATCACAATGAAGGTGTGGGTAAGTGGAAGTCTTTGGGAGGTGAGGGTACTGCTCGTGTGCGAGTAATGTTTTACTCCTGAAATAAAGTGCATCAAGCCATGCTTATAGTCTGAAGAGATTAATTTCCCCAGAGAATTCAAACGAAACTAAAAAAATTAAACGTAAGTAAAAACGAAACAAAATATATATTATAAACTAAACTATTTTAATTTTAATAAGTAAGGCCGACTGAGCTCTATAGCTCTTTTTCAAAAGTCACCTGGCCACAAATGATAGCTCAACGAATTGTCTTATCATGTGGAAATTTATAGTCGCCAAATACTCTAAACACATGTTTATAAATGTGGAGGGAAACACGGGAGGACCCGGACAAAAATCTACACGACCATGGGGAGAACATGCCAACTCCAAATATACAGGCGTCAGGGTCGGGATCGAACCCACAACCTCCTGTATACCAGGCGAGGTAGCTAACATCTCGTCACTGTGGCGACCCAATTAAATGACTATAATTATACTGTGCACTGTTTAAAATTGCATTCGTGTATTCTATCAAGTTTACTTTTCCCCAGGTTCATGTAAATCTTATAACGATTCAAAATGCTCTGATCGAATTGCCTTGTGCCAATTGAAAGTTTAGCCACAGGTTATTTACATTTTTTTGCCACATTTACATTTTACAGTGGCTGCGAATATAAACACTTATTAAGTGACACATTCAAATAACACCTACAACAATAAATACATCAGGGGCATGAACATGTGATTTTATATGGTTAGGAGATGTTTCCAAAACAGATGCGAGCGGAACTTTACTTATCAGGTGACCAAGTGAAATGATTCATAACTTAGGCCCCCAATTTTATGAAAATGGCAAACGAGGTATACGAGGAATAATAATAATAATACATGGTTATAACTCTTAAGCCGTGTAAAACAAGGCGATGTATTTCATAATCAGGGGGTATGAAACCAAACCCAATTCCAGATCCACTTGTAGTCTACTTCTGTGGATCAAAAAGAGTTTTTTTCGTGATGTCATCAAATTATTTTTGTGCCAGAGACAATGATGCTCCACTATTTAGTCAAATATTTGTCCTTTTTAATGGTTTTGCAAAATGGCATATGTTTCAAGATGTGTGGAATATATCTACGCGTGAAATGTCAAATATTACATTTGTAAATAATGCAACGTCAATTTTCCAGGCCAGAAAAATTAGAGGATGTTTATGTTGCTTCTTAAGCTGAAATGTATAAAGGCATAACATTTTTAATGGACTGCTAAAACTATTGGAAGCTAAACTTTACTCATTGTTGATCCACAGTGATGTTCAGTAAAATACAAAAACACATCTAGTGTACCCAGTGGCCTAAAACCTGGTCTCCACGACCTTGTTTCTATCTATAAAGTGGCTCAAAAGTTTCCATTTCCAGCCCATTAAATTTTGAAGCAACTCTCAATAATATATACATAGATATGCAAATAAAATTGAACAAACAAAACCGCTGCTACAGATTGTTGTGGCCTTCCGGAGGGCCCGGTTGTCGGCAGTCAGCACTCGCTCAGCGGGTGCCACTTGGCGATCTGGCGGCGTGGATTCTCACAAACCTCGCGCCAGTGCTCAGTGCCCGGCCCCAGGGCCAGCCTCCCAATCACCTCGTCCTTGGTGGTGCGGTCAAAGTCCACCACTGTGAGCTCGACGGCCAGGTCAGAAAGGCCTTCCTCGGGCAGCTCAAACACAAACGACTCGTTGAAGACTGGGTTTAGCGTGCACTTCTTGACGTGTGTCTTCTTCTTGGCAAACCGTCGTTTCCCACTGTATATGTTCACCTTCACGTATGGGTCTACGGTTGGGGGAATAACAGACACAAACATAACCTTCAACCCATGGCTCTCCTTCTGCAAAATTGAACAATGTAACCACGCTCACAGATGGGGCTTTTACAGCAGTGTACAAGGTGGCATTGTCGCGCTGAACAGAGGGTTTCTTTACATTCATAGAAGAGGGATTGAAAAAAACTGAATGTAGGAGCAGAGAAGTGGAAAAGTCAGATTCCTAGTGGAGCAGGAAAAAGGCTTAAGACCTGGAAAGAGGTGACATGAGGTGATGGTAACTGCATTTGATGAATGATGCAGAAGTGAGAGGAGTAGAATTAGTACGTGTGCTTACATGGTCATGAGCGTGTCCTTGGTAATGAATAGTGAATGAAGTAATTTGGGAGAGGTCAGTGGGTTATATTATTTTTTTCCAAGCTCTACAAAACAACCGTTTCTATTGTCATTGAGTGTCTGGCCCCATTGAGGACCGATACTACTTGTTGTGCATGCTTTGCCTCCTGGTACACATAAACCTTATGTGAGCAACGTTTGCTGGTTTCAGGACAAAAATATTTCATGCATATAATTCGCCTCCTGTATATTCCTTTGTTCAATGAAAGTTACTGACCCAACTATAGAAATGTAAAAGTTCTACCATTGTCTCAGAGTTGAAAGGTTGTACCACCGAGTGTTTGAGCAGGCGATCAATGCTTTCACTTTAATTTTCACTTTCACTATACTACACCTTATGTTGTGTTTTTCACCCTTACAACTCTTTTAATTCCGATGCCAGTCGCTCTTCACACTAACGACCTCTTAACTTGACCTCTCTCCTCCTCATGCTCGTACTGCGTCTTTAGATATCATTGCATTTGTAGGCATTGTGCATGATATGTTTGGGAATATAAATCACTTTTTTTATTACCAAAATACCAGTTTATGGTAAACTTAATGCAAAATTTTTGAAAACTCCGAGTCTATTAATTTTATGGATACAAATACTGTAAAATTAACACATTCTGAAGAAAAACCGCGTCTTTATTTAGCTTGGAAGTCTTGTTAAATACACTGTACAAGTTCGGGTAAACTCAAAATTAGAAAAAAAAGTTTGCATTGGGGATTTCGATATCCAGATTTTATGTTCTCCAATGTTTAGTGACAGTTTTCACAAAGACAACATTCACTACCTCCCCAAAAGACACATTTTAAATACCATTCTCATTTAGTGCAGCTATCATAAAGTGTATAACACGTTTATGTTTGATGCGTGTATAAGAGGTCAGCATGTTCTATTACTTAAAAGATCTCCACTTTTAAGTACGGACTGTGCTGATCTCTACTGGTGGTCTTGAGATAATGCCAACAATTCCATATTTCTCTCTTAGGAAACACCCATGCTGCATGGCACGCACCCGTTTAGTTCCAATAAAGCGTTACACTTTTGGGGATTGGTAATATTCACGAGTGGTAGTGCATTTCACACTCGTTACACAGGTTCCCAGTTCGAGTCCAGTGGTTGCCCTGGTTAATACCGTATATCTGGTATCTACTTCAGAGTGGATGTTAAAGATCCAGGGACATTATTCAAACAGAGAGTTAGACCATGTGTGCCGATATGAAGGGATATATCTTCTACATTTTACAAAGAACTCCCAAATGTATTGATGTTGGAATACCACACGGTAACATTGTCCCCTACTGCCAGATTATACCGTCTATGAAACATAGCGCCTTCATAATTGGCTTGCACTATAATAATGGCGCATATACCACATGTTGTTAAATAATTGTCGATGCTTATGTTATCTACGTATGCGGTACTATGGACTGAGGCAACCTCAGACCAAGATTTATACTTACAAACTGAGATATGTGGGGAGGGAAGGGGAGGGGGGGCAGGGAATTACATATAGGATTTCTATATTGCATGTTCCCTTTACCCAGGAAAGCCTCGCTTAGTCTCAAGACTATTTCGCATGAGCAGCTTATACTGTTACGACGCTTGGCCAATTCGACTTTTTGTCTGGCATGTGGGAGAACACCGGAGTCCTCGGATAAAAAACGAAACAAAAATATTGCATGATAATACTCAAAGCTCGGCACAAGAGAGATTTGTTAATCCATTATTTTACTGCCATCTGCTGGCCACCTCACAGACGAAGCCTACCATGCCTGGTATTCTTTGTGCTAACCAGGCTCAACTGTGCTTCTGAAGATCTAACAAGTGAAGGTGTGTTCAGTGTGGTTTGGTGATCTGATAATTTTGCACGTAAAAGTCAGAGTTTCAAATGTTCTACGTGCTAATTTGAAAACTGCATTTTTGTTGTTGATTTAGCAGTCATGCACAGTTTATGTAAAAACACCAAAAACATTTTTTATTAAGAAAAAATCCTGTTCTTTGTCCATTCAAAAAACCACAGCAATGTATTCACGCTATTATAATAAGGGTGTTGTTGCCATTCGTCTGGTTGTGACGTTTTGGTGTTTTGAGCGACCATACCTGAGAGACCGACGATGTCTGTTTTTGGAAGGTGCCTTGCCTTCAGCACAACCACAGTCAGTCTGCTCGCCGCTGGGTGATAACACAGCGAGACCAGGATCTCTCCGCGTCCCACCGATTTCTAAACAAGACGTAAACGTGCAACAAACGAAAAGCGATTACGATTGAGAAACGTCATCGTGATATCGAGACGGATGTCAATTACTCTAATAACTGGAGCATTTTAAAATAAAGAATATACTCTACATTGCTGTTTAGGGGATTTCACCAGCGACTATAATGCATCACGATTGTGCTCTAAGATATCCAAGTCGAATGGCACAGAACAACTCCAAAATATGGGACTGTGACGCTATTTTCATTGCCTCTTCCGCGAAGCTCTTTTACTATTCTGGATTTGAAGCTTTCGTGACTGCAAGGATTCATATTCTTAGGTTTTTTCGGTAAAGTCACGTAGGTAAAACATTAAAATTAATAAAAGTAAAATAAAATAAAAATCACCGGCAGCAAATTGCTGCTCGCTGCCGGTGATTTTTTATTTTATTTTACTTTTATTCATGTTAATGCTTTACCTACATGACTCTTTTACTATATTGTGTTCCTTCATGATGTCATGTTGTCGATAGAGTTGTTTTCTGTAAGAATTATAATATATGTATCCAGCAACAATTGATATTTCTACCTTTAGCACTCAGAGGTTGCCAAAGTAGATTTAACAAAAAAATAATATGTTTTGTGCAGCTATTGTTCCCAATAGGTAACCTTTACGTAACTAATTTACTGTACAGGAACCATTAGCTTACAAATTTACTCTACTCGAAAACCAGATGCAATTGCATGTGGGTATCTGGAGTTCAAATCGATGATCTTAGCTGCACCATGTCAGTATGCAGAAGTATAACACCGACTACATAATGTTACCTCCAACTGCACTAATTTAATAAAGTAACATTATACATCGTGACTGAATTCGGAATAAAAGCATGCATTATAACATATTTTTTCCCATTTTGATCCTGAAATGCTGTGTTTTGGACACCATTAATCATTAAAGCAGCACAAATTTAGTTTAATGTCCCTGCTTTGTCTGTGCACACAACTCTATGATCATCATCATCCAGCTAAATGGTTTTTAGCTATTTATTAAATTGATTATGTTTTTGTTTTTACAAACGTGATAATGATCAATTACATTTATGAACATGGTACTGGATATAATCCAGGGTGAGCATCAGTGAAAGGGCTGTTAAGTGATAATTGAATGATAATAGAAAAGTCATGTTTATAGAAAAAGAAAATGTTGCAGCTAACGAGCACCCAATGCAATGTTGTTTGCATAGGAAAGGGCTTTAACCAACACTGAATATAAAATACCCGGTGATTAATATAAAGGTGGTGAGGTTGATGAAGATTGTGATAAAAATAAATTATGGGACTCATTAGTCGCATACAATGCATTAAATGTGTTTCAAGTGTGTTTGATGGAACACCTTATTTTAAAGCGTTTAACATTTTTAAGTTCTTCATAATTGGCACGTTATTTTAAGGCCTTTCAGTCTTTTATCAATGTATTATTATTATAAACGCGTCACTACACCAATAGTAATAGTTATTGGAAAGCATAAACACATTTATTATGATATACTGTTCTCCCTTAACTGAGCATGGTGATTTATGTGGGATTTTTTTTTCACTCGAGTGTCAAACATCACATCGCAATTTTGGGCAGAAAGTGGGACCAGCTTGACTCATTTCATTTGTGTAATATGAACTGTGTAACAAAAAAGACTGCCTAACATATAAAGGGTAATATAAATGAATATATGAATATATTATAAATTAATATATTAATTTGAATATATAAGCACATAACATTAAGGAAAAAAACAAGATCCTATTCATAAAATCGTCCAATTAATTGATTTTGTTCTGTATGATCTAATCCTCTAACACAATATTTTATTTTAATGCTCAACCCTTATTTCAAAAAGTGTAGGCCATGTGCAAAGCTTTTTGCCGAGTTTAAATGCCAGGAAATGAATTAAGTTTTAAATCATGAGTATAACATCGTTTTGCCATATCCTATCAAAGATGTGAGTTACGGCTCTCCGCTCCTGTGAAAAACAATTACCTCACCTGTACATTTCTCTTTGTGATGTCTCGGCTCAAAAAGACCTTGTCGGGACTCAAATCAATTCCAGCCAAGGGCACCATCACCTCACCAATAACGTCATCGCGGGAGAATCTATCAAAGCTCAGAACGAGAAAGTGCAGGACGAGACTCTGGAGCTGATTGTAGGCAATGCCATAGAAGGTAAACGTTTCGTCGAACATGGGATCCAGCGTTCTCCTGAGCACTCGTGTTTTGATCTTGTGCTTCTTATCAGGCAAGATGGTCATTTTCACGTATGGGTCAGAGCTGCCCGTCTGATCGTCCATTACGGGGAGACTGCGCGCCTCCCGAATTGTGACCACAAACGCTTGCTTTTGGAAATTATACTCGACGGCAAAGAGGAGTGTGCCCAGGTGTACGTCTTCACTGTCAAGAGAGAACGGGGAAGGGCTCTTGCTCGACGACAAGTCTTCGGCGCCTCTACCGTCGCAGTCGGTGCGACTTGCGGGAGAGCTCTGCTCGCTCAACGAGCGGCAGGATGGGTTTTGCGGCGAGCCCAGTTCGAGCCCGGGTGTGCTGCGGATTGTGTTTTGGTTGCCATCGGGGCTGGCCAGTGTGAGATTGCCGGACTGGGCTAGTGTTACATTTTGAACCATGACGGGTGGCTTTAGGCTCCTATTTTGGTTGTCCTTGAAGGGTTCCACCTCGTGTTTGTTCTCATAGCACTTCACTTCGCCAACTTCTTCAGAGTAGACATTTATGCCCTTTAAAATGTGAGCGAGTTTAATGGGCGACGATTTGCTTGCTCTCCTGGTTTTACCCAGGCAACAGATCCACGCGTATGCCGAGGCTGAGAGTGTCACGACCAAGAGCGTGACGCCAACGAGTGCCAGCACAATTGGTGACACGTCTGTAAAAGAAGGGGATGAAGGCACATACATGACACACCAATATTAAGATACAGGTACCGATTTGGTTTTTAAATCAAAATTATTTTCAAGTACAGTATTCCATCGGGTAATATTCAACCGGAATATTGATCGCTGGCCTCGGCAAAGTAAGGTAATTTACCCTTTTTACCGGGTAAAATGGCAAAGGGTAAAGGTGTCGACATGCCAAGGGGTAAGGTAAAGGGTAGTGTAAAGGTAGCGCAAAGTATTACCCGGTAAACACCTTGTTTACCGCTCGCTAAAAGCTCCGTGGCGCAGCCCGTGGCCTCCATTTAAAATATGAATCATCGAGAGTATTCTATATGAATAAAGCGCTCTACCTCACATTTACCTGTTATAAACCTTGTTCATGTGTAGTAGTACCCCAGTAATTGCCCTGTAATCGGGTAATCTATATGGGGTAAGGGTAAGAGGTAGGGTAAAGGTAGGCCCGTTGATTTGAACTTTTACCTCACCTTGCCGAGGCCTATTGATCGCATTCTATAGCTCAGCAGTAGAGAGCTGACGCTTTGCTTGCGCGAGACCCCGTGTGCATTCTCTAGCAATGCCACTTTGTTACGTGGTGCAGCGGCACACATTGTAAGCCAACACTCGGGACACGGGGCTAGTCACGCTGAGATCAAGATGTGTGGGTTACACAGTGACCACAATTCTCCATGGCAAGTAGGCAGTTGATCTGTTCGTATTTTTAGTTTTATCCCTCTATGCGAGTTTTCATCAGGTGATCAAATGTTCTACCACATATAAAATCGCTTAATAATTGAATGTATTGTTCGATATTGGTGGTGGCATAAGATTGTAATTTTGTTATCATTCACCACGTAAAAATAAAGCAAAATGTTAGTCCATTCACTTAGGTGCCTTCCACAGTTCAATGCATCGCAACGGTATTTTTTTTTTAGCAAACTTTGTACAGCTTTAAAATGTCTTCATCTGTCTTCGTGTTCTTCATTGCAAGGCCCACGGGCCACTGGCGGCCCCTGGTGGCCTTTAGTGCGACCCCTGACTTGCGGCCCTCGATAATACACAACGTGTGAAAACACCCAATCATGCTGTCAAACCCAATAGTTCCAATGATGTCTTATCGGCGAAAGTGGGTCCCCCCTCTGAAAATGAGTGAAGAACACCGATCTGTCTCATCAACAGTGTCACTTGTTAAACAAATGCTGCACGGTTGTCTCACGTCATCGCCAAGTGTCCTCCGTAAACACCATGGGGCCTTACTCTTTGGTTCTTTCGGTAAAGTCGCGTAGGTAGAAAAATAAAACAAAATAAAAAATAATATATCACGACGTTTCGATCGCAACACAAGCGGTCGTCCTCAGGCGGAAAAAATTCAGCAGTTCCACTGCTGGATTTTTTTTTCTAGCTACGTTAATTTACCAAAAGAACCAAAGAGTATGGATTCCTCCAGTTACGAAAGCTTCAAATCAAGATTGAACCATGGGGCATATTTAGGGTTTATTCTGCTGTTGAGACTCGGGACGTTAAAACCTACTTAGCCAAATTCTCATGAAAACATTCGACCTGAACCTTCATTGGCTGCGTAACTAAAATGTTCATGCATTTTACGTGGTGAAAGAGATCACTTTGTGCTCATTCTTTTCATTGTCATACTCATAAGCCACCACAACAGCTTTACTGTAATAAATGATGTGCTATATTGCATTGCTGTACGGTGTTCAATGGGCCCCATAGCGTTCATGTTTTGCTTTTATATATACCATCAGGCTACCCAGCATTGTTTAACAAGCCACATGCCGTTGATGAGACTGAAAACCAGCCCACGATTTGCTTGCTTAGGCAAATGCTATTAGAATTGTTAGCTTCTTGCAAGGCTAATGAGGGATTTAAAAGTTTTTAAACTGGTAGAATAAACCACTCAAGATGCATGATAATGATCTATCCATGTCGATGTAGGAGTAATAAGAATATGTACAGCTGAACCCTCCTGAAACAGTCCTCAGACACAATCTTTTTGAGGGTGTGTTTGGTAAAATAGTATTAAGCCCAAAGTGATAAAAAAAACACACAGTAATAGCGTTCCAGTAAAATGTCTTATTTGAAAATGTTATTTAAATTACCACTAAGCATGAGCGTACACTTTAGAAAATAATGTGTTTTATATTATACGCAATCATTGCACTGCATGTTACATAACAGATGCTAAATCTGTTGCATTTCGTGCAATGATGTACTCCCAGATGCCGTGGGCCCGATGGGTTGTGTAAGAATACTTTTTTTTATTTGGAAAGATGGATATAATAATGAGCCGCAGAGTCAGCTTATCCATCTTATTCCGCCGTGAAGCCCTCTCGTGGCCAGCAGATCTCGACATTGACATTTCGCTACATTATACCATACGCAAGAGTAGAATATATCTTATCAGCCGTATGGTCATGAATAGCACATTACTGTATTCGTGATTGGTAACATGTTTTACTTGACACCAGGGGTAATGATTGCACAGTACATAATAGGGGGGAGATGCTTAATCTCGATTAGTCGATCATCACAGACGGAATTGTTCGAGCCTCTGCATTAGGTCGGCCTGCTAAGGCGTAGTGACATCACGCCGAGCACTCAATAAATCATCATTTCGCAGAATGTGGCATATCGTGAGAATACAACCTTTCTTTTTTTCCCCATTTTACATCCGACGCTGCCGCTATTTCTAGCAAGCAAGCTGTCCGATACACTATATCTCACGGGATACATAAAAAATGTAACGTACATGAAAGAAAAACTATGCCATTTAAGTAACGAAATTTGCAATCACTGGTTACAACATGCGTTTGTTATATAAACGTGTACTCATATATCTATCAGTTTTCTAGACGTCACTTTCATTGGACTTATAGTTGATACATAATACGAGTATATACATGCATTAATGGAGAAGACACGCACCATTGTCTGATACAGTATGCGAATGTATAGGCATTAATATTTAATTGCATTAAGGTTGTCATGAAATATTCAGACCGGTGTCCATCGCTCATTTTCCACCAGTGCACATGAATTATCCACGTCATTCAAATGCAATATTGTTTTCTCTCAAATTCAGGACCAAAAAAAAACCACGAAGAGGCTGACAGTCCGTTTGAACGTAGTTTGTTGGCGACAGCGGCAAGAGTAAATTATACATGATGCGTTAACGCCGTGATATTTTACGAATGAAATTATTACACTAACACGGTACAGTGCCGCACTTGCCAAGACGGATACAAAACAACAACGTGGCCCTTCCTTCGCCCGTGATTTGCTGTGGAATCAAAGCGACACTTAGACACACACACACACGCGCGCGTACGTCGACTGCACCCCGAGCGTATTCTGACCGTGGCGACGATACACGAAGTAGCGATCGATAACAGACGGAGCAGCGCACATCCGCTGTGCGCACGCTCGGTTATTGCTGATGGTGCACGGCTCCTGCCCACCGACGCTGGCTCAGCAAATGTTTTTTTTAAATAGAAAACGCCCCTTACATGTTGGCAAATTTCAAATTACATTCTACAGTGTGTGTGTATGTTAGACGTACGTCTGTAGACATTAACGTACGGCATGATTTTCATTCATCGACATCGTGTTGGACATGATGATGATGGTAATCATCAGCATCATTCATCAACGCTCATCAAAACAAACACTCATCAAGACAAACATCATCGTGATCATCGTCATCACCAGTATCATCATGACTACTACCATTATGACCACAAAAATCATCCGCATCTCGATCATCACCAAGACAATCATGACCAGCATCAGTATTATCACCAAAATTGTCACTACCATCATGACCACCAAATTCATTACGATCTCAACCATCATCATCCTGACGATCATCATCTTGGTCGCGTGTGTGTGTGTATGTGTGTCTGTGTGTGAGTGTGTGCGACTTCGCTCACCGAGGCTGGACTTGGAGACGGACACCTCAAGCATGGTGCTGTCCGCACGGGGCTGGTGCTGATGCTGCTGCTGATGCTGCTGCTGCGCCTGTGTTTAGCTCGGTGAGGACGCGAGCGAGGGCAGGAGGAGCGCGTGTGTGGGGTGAGTCTGGTGTAAGAGGGAGAGACACCCAGAGTCTGTGTGAGAGGCAGAGACACCCAGAGTCTGTGCGAGAGGCAGAGACACCCAGAGTCTGTGCGAGAGGCAGAGACACCCAGAGTCTGTGCGAGAGGCAGAGACACCCAGAGTCTGTGTGAGAGGCAGAGACACCCAGAGTCTGTGCGAGAGGGAGAGACACCCAGAGTCTGTGTGAGAGGCAGAGACACCCAGAGTCTGTGTGAGAGGGAGAGACACCCAGAGTCTGTGTGAGAGGCAGATACACCCAGAGTCTGTGCGAGAGGGAGAGACACCCAGAGTCTGTGTGAGAGGCAGAGACACCCAGAGTCTGTGTGAGAGGGAGAGACACCCAGAGTCTGTGTGAGAGGGAGAGACACCCAGAGTCTGTGCGAGAGGCAGAGACACCCAGAGTCTGTGTGAGAGGCAGAGACACCCAGAGTCTGTGTGAGAGGGAGAGACACCGTGAGTCTGTGTGAGAGGGAGAGACACCCAGAGTCTGTGCGAGAGGCAGAGACACCCAGAGTCTGTGTGAGAGGCAGAGACACCCAGAGTCTGTGTGAGAGATTGCGCGGCGTGTGTGAGTCCCCCTGCGTTGCCTCGACGAATAACCTCAATGAAAGTCGTCAACAGCCGCGTCTGCCTACGTACGGAATGACGTAAATAAGGCGTCGTGGGAGGGGAGTGGGTAGGTGGGTTAGGGGGATGCCGCTGGGGTGAGAGAGAGAGAGCGAGAGGGAAGAAGAAGAATCGCCGCCTTCAAGCGCCGATAGGTGGGGGGCGATGGAGTGGTGGTGGGTGGGGGGCGATGTGGTGGTGGGTGGGGGGCGATGGAGTGGGTGGTGGTGGGGGGCGATGGAGTGGTGGTGTGGTGGGGGGCGATGTGGTGGTGGGTGGGGGGCGATGGAGTGGGTGGTGGTGGGTGGGGGGCGATGGAGTGGTGGTGGGTGGGGGACGATGTGGTGGTGGGTGGGGGGCGATGTGGTGGTGGTGGGTGGGGGGCGATGTGGTGGTGGGTGGGGGGCGATGGAGTGGTGGTGGGTGGGGGGCGATGGAGTGGTGGTGGGTGGGGGGCGATAGAGTGGGTGGTGGTGGGTGGGGGGCGATGGAGTGGTGGTGGGTGGGGGGCGATGTGGTGGTGGGTGGGGGGCGATGGAGTGGTGGTGGGTGGGGGGCGATGTGGTGGTGGGTGGGGGACGATGGAGTGGTGGTGGGTGGGGGGCGATGTGGTGGTGGGTGGGGGGCGATGGAGTGGTGGTGGGTGGGGGGCGATGGAGTGGTGGTGGGTGGGGGGCGATGTGGTGGTGGGTGGGGGGCGATGGAGTGGGTGGTGGTGGGTGGGGGGCGATGGAGTGGTGGTGGGTGGGGGGCGATGTGGTGGTGGGTGGGGGGCGATGTGGTGGTGGGTGGGGGGCGATGTGGTGGTGGTGGGTGGGGGGCGATGGAGTGGTGGTGGGTGGGGGGCGATGTGGTGGTGGGTGGGGGGCGATGGAGTGGTGGTGGGTGGGGGGCGATGTGGTGGTGGGTGGGGGGCGATGGAGTGGTGGTGGGTGGGGGGCGATGTGGTGGTGGGTGGGGGGCGATGGAGTGGTGGTGGGTGGGGGGCGATGTGGTGGTGGGTGGGGGGCGATGTGGTGGTGGGTGGGGGGCGATGTGGTGGTGGTGGGTGGGGGGCGATGGAGTGGGTGGTGGTGGGTGGGGGGCGATGGAGTGGTGGTGGGTGGGGGGCGATGGAGTGGGTGGTGGTGGGGGGCGATGCGGTGGTGGTGGGTGGGGGGCGATGTGATGGTGGTGGGTGGGGGGCGATGTGATGGTGGTGGGTGGGGGGCGATGTGATGGTGGTGGGTGGGGGGCGATGGAGTGGTGGTGGGTGGGGGGCGATGGAGTGGGTGGTGGTGGGGGGCGATGTGGTGGTGGTGGGTGGGGGGCGATGGAGTGGGCGGTGGGTGGGGGGCGATGTGGTGGTGGTGGGTGGGGGGCGATGGAGTGGGTGGTGGTGGGGGGCGATGTGGTGGTGGTGGGTGGGGGGCGATGGAGTGGGTGGTGGTGGGGGGCGATGGAGTGGTGGTGGTGGGTGGGGGGCGATGTGGTGGTGGGCGATGTGGTGGTGGGTGGGGGGCGATGTGGTGGTGGGTGCGGGGCGATGGAGTGGTGGTGGTGGGTGGGGGGCAATGTGGTGGTGGTGGGTGAGGGGGCGATGTGGTGGTGGTAGGTGGTGGTGGGTGGGGGGCGATGTGGTGGTGGGTGGGTGGGTGGTGGTGGTCGTGGTGGGATGCAGGGGGTGGGGGTCGCTCATCCAGAAACGCGCCCACGCCTGTGGGTGCGGTTTGAAAAAACACAGTGCGCACGTCTCTCCTATTTCGCATCAATTCCACGTGGATATGACGCGCTGCCTTGGGGTTATTAGTGGATGAAATTCTCCGCGGCCCGTGGTCGCGGTCATTCCAGGGGTTGTTGGATGCGCACCGGACTTTGGCCACCTCTGGTCGGTGTGGGTTGACAGAAGGCGTGCGCGTGTCTCTGTGTGTGTTGGGGTGGCGTGGGTTGGAACGGTTCGCGGACCTGGGCCTCCCCTAGGTCGACTCAGCCTCGAATGAGTACCTGGTGCGGTGTGTGTAGTAAACATCACCGCTGGAGAGACAAAGGCGGCCGGGCGTGGTACTGGCCACCCACCCCCATCGCGTTACGTGCCGACCTACATAGGTGCCCCCAGCAGTCTGGTACATCTGTACGCGGGATCGGTCTTTGTGGTGGCTCAGGACTGTTTTATATACTGTCACTCACCGGGTTCATGATCATCAGCTCTTGTTTATCCACTGCTGGATGAAGCCCCGCACCCCCACTTCCCAATCCGTCACCATCCCTCTTGGTCCATCTCACTCCTGCTCACGAACTGGTTGGTCTCACGGCTCCGTCTCCATGGGTATCGTGCTCTCGGACGCGTTCTCTCCATATTTCTTACCCCGGTGAACTGACTCCGCGGGTTTAAATGATGCGTTTTCTCAAAGAGTTGAGAATTACAACCCCGCGTCGTTTCAGTACTTTTTAATGTTTTGTTTCAAGCAATTGACCTGAACCGGTTTTATTTCATTTCAATGTATAAACGGCTTGTGAGGCACACGCCAAACGGTATTGTTTCTAGATTTGAAACTTTCGTGACTGCAAGGATTCATACTCTTAGGTTTTTGTTCGGTAAAGTCACGTAGGTAAAAATAAATAATAATAAATAATAATAAAATAATAGAAATAATGATAGAAATAAAATAATAAATCACGACGTTTCGGGCGCAACACAAGCGTGACTTTACCGATAAAAACCTAAGAGTATGAAACGGTATTGTGTTTTGGGGCAACATCCCGAAATACATTGGCAGTGGAATGACTGATTGTCCATCCAAATAGAACCGTACATCATATTGAAATAGAAACCTCGGTCATATTTAGTGGCTGTATTATACACTGACGAGTTGTGCTAATGAGTGCAAATAGGCACTTTGGGGGTGAAAATTATGTTTCTGGTACTAATTAGTGTATTATCGCTAATGATCACGAATCTTCGTGATTCAATACACACGTTTTATCCGCGAACGTTTGAACCCGACGAACCAGCTTCCATCGCCCATGGTGAACCCACTTCCATCACCCCGATTCAATTAGCTGAGCCGGTGATTCACTTCCTTGGTGAACACCTGCTGTTGCCTGATTAGCTTATTACATTTTAAAGCACTATCTATGATCACTACAGCCCACGTCATCAGGCCTCATGACATTTCAAATGGAATCGTGAACGAATAAAAATGTATGATGTCACTCACGTCCTCCTCCCCCCTCCCCCTTAGTGACTGTGTCGAATATGTATCCAATTTGACAGCCAATCATAATTTGACAGCCTTATGATCCCAGGTGTTTTCCATTTGTCCAATACAGTGTTTTTTTTTAAATCCTTTATATTAAGTTCGCTTGCTTGCGTGCTTGCGTGCTTGCTTGCTTGCTTACGACCGTGCAAATCTTTCGGTCGTTTTTTAACCCACTTCCCGTGATCCAATCGAGCTGACATTTTACACACAGACTCGTTGTGCGAGACATGACGTCATTTATGGACGGCCCCATATGCTAAGAACCAGATTCAAACATTAAGGTTGGTAATGCCCAACGCTCAGCCTTTTTAATAGCGCTGGCTGGGTCATGTCGCCTGCATGTCCGGCCACCGCATGCCCAAGCAACTTCTGTTGGGTTGAATAGATGGAGCTAAATGGGCGCGGCTCGGGCTCGAGAAGAGATGGACCGATGTGGTACAGAAGGATGTGGAGCTGATTGGACTTGCCAATGACTGGTACCAGAAGTGTCAGGACCGACCTCTGTGAAGGAGGATCGTGTTGGATGCTGCTGGGGAGTTGGAGGCAGTCGCCCTCCAGAAACAAAGGAGGGCAGAGGAGCGACGCTCACAACAACGAGCAGAGCGCCGGGCGCCTAAAACGCAGAAAGTTGGCACAGTGGAGAATACAATTGGTGCATCTGCCCCCTCAGTCTGTCAGCCCATGGCACCTGGGTCGATGTTGGAACTTCCTGCCAGCGGACCTTTCGACACTTCACGTGGCCTCAAAGTGCACCTAGCATGGCACAAGCGCTGTGGTGACATCACCGCCACTTAGTGGTCAACAACGCACTTTTCTATTCCAGTTCACACAATTGACAGTTATTTGTCAATTGTGGTTGACAGATAATCCTCCTTGACACTGATACACTTCCTGTGCTTTCCATGGCAATGGCTTTGCTGCTGCTGCTGTCGTTAGTAAGGTTGTGCGGCAGCCCGCCATGCAGTACACACACACACACGCGAGAGAAAAAATGTAGTTTCATAAAATGTACTGTAGTTGTGTTATCTTCTTCTTTAGTGCTGCCTAACGGCGTGTGCGACTTCACGATGATATTGGTCCCGGTCTAGCACGGCGTGTGTGCTAAACTGTGAGTTCACGAGTGATGACCATATTTAAAAAAATACTGCAGGTTAAAAGGGCCCTTACAAGAAACCGAGGAGAGAAAATACACAGGCTGCCCTCTGTTGGATAGATTTATGCCACGAATGAATAAATACATGTCACTGACAAAAACAATTTAGATCGAATTAACACTACCATGCCTTCATTTTGGCCGAACAAACTGTCTAGGTTTAAATTGACAAATAATGACTCCTGTTTAGGGAGAAAACTAATTTTTTAAATGTATTGCATTCATTAAGCTCATTTTAAAATGCATTAAACCTTCGTTGATCACGAAGGGTTCTTATTTAAACAACACTTAAAGGTTTTTCCAAAATGCTGTATAAGGAGCAGAACAGTGGCCTGTCACTTACAACGACTAAACCTCTCTCGTCTCTCCGTTGATCGATTGTCCCACTCTGTGCATCGTCTGTAGACCCATGTCTAAAATCACATACAGTATTTAGAACTCCCACAGAAAAACATGCGATTTACAGTTCACGGGTTCAGGCTAGGTCATGGCGAAATAAATCCCAGTTGTAGTTGAAATGTAACCTTTTTTTTTCAAACCAATTTTAACCACTGGTTCAGGACCAC